GCAGTATGTGTATATCAGATAAAGTTTGGCCCTGAGCTGTATCTAACCCTGTCACGCATGTAGAAGCCAGGGAGCTTTAGCTGCCCAGTTGAGAGCTGGTGTCCTTCCTGTGGTCACGGAGGCTACTGACGTTCAATGAATCTCAGGAGGAAAACAGACTGTGGGAGCTGCGTGATTTAGTATGAGAATTAAAGAAAGTAAATTTTCCATTGAAAGACAGCAAATCCATCAGCAATGAGGGAAACATGTTGTGATGTGATATACATATACATGTATATATTTTAAGGATTCAGTGTTACTTCCATATTCTCTCAATTTCATGACACCGGCTTAGTTCGACCCTTTTATTTCTGGAGCTTTTCCTCCTTGTCCACCTGCCAGTCAAGACTCACAGTAAATATGCCCGAGCTCTTTCCTCCACTTGCCACCAGATTTTTCAGTCGCCTGCAAGGTACAAACACTAAAACCAGGCTCACAATGCAGAAGATTTAGACTGATTTACAAACATTTTACCCCTACAAACAATCTGAGGTTGGACTCAGATTATTTGATGAATTAAGGCTCTACAGGTGCAGCCTGAAACCTCCAGAACTGCTTTCAGACTCATTAAGGCCGCCACAATAACATCCGCCGTGCTCACCGAGCTTCCGTTTCACCCCTCCTGACAGTCGAAAGAGATATCTCTCCTGGGATCTCGGTCTGAACTCATGTTTAGCTCAGATTATGTGGAGTCTGAACCCTACAGACCCACTTCCAGTCTCTTCAGGGCCACCCCGATAATATCAAATGTGTTATTTATATTTATAGGGTTGGCTTTGATATTACTGCTTGTGCCTGGAGCAGCAGACTCTGTTGCCAAGCAATGCTAAACTTTCTCACCTTTGATGTTAATGTTAGCTACAGATATTAAAGCTGATAGTTTTGCTGAAAAATACACCATTCTGATGGGATCCTCCCAAACACTTTGTTATGGCCTTTGCTTTTTCTCGATCCAAAGTATATTTAGCGTTACAGCACATTGTTGCACCACAGTCTCCATTTGGTTTCCATCTGATTCCCCATGAGATCAGGTGAGGTGGTGCTCTGGTCTGTAATTGCTCCTTCTGGCGCAATAGTCTTAAACACATCCTGTAGTGTGTGACACTCCATTATCTTCTAAACTGGCAGTGTGCGCATGTTTGGGAATACCTGTAAAGTTTCTACCTATGTGCAGCCTAGTTTCAAAAACTCAACTCCTGCAGTGTGAGCCCAGCTCCAGGCCAACTCTCTGCTCCCATCTGTCTCCTTCACTTTGTCTCTGGTTTCTTTTCAAGATGTTCCATTGTCTCTCTGCTTCAGGTTCAAACTCAGCCTTTTGCTAATTTTACCAGAAACCCAGCCTCGATCCACACCACCCGCTTCATTCTCCACGCCCTCAGCTCAGGTTCCATACCAGTCTGACCAACTTAGCATCTTCTCTCTCTTAGTGCCTCAAACCACCTCAAGAGCTACTTTAAACACGTCCAAGCCCACTACCTGCTAGAGTTAAGTATTAGAGTCCACTTCTTCCTTGTTTTTACCACCATAAGGTCCATTGCTATCAACATCCAAACACCACAGACCAACAGTGCTCCTTATAACTCTAGACTTGGCCCAGTTTTGAAGCTTCTTCAGTATTCAGTGATAATTACATTGTTGGTTTCACAGATGTTACACTTGTGTCTTTTTTCTGAGGTATCTATTTTATGTCAGACAAGGTAATTGCAGACCCAACAGTGATTTTGCTTTTACTAATGGTAGCTAGAGCAGTGTACAATGCAGAAATCTGCCAGCAGAGAAGAACGGAGAGACACAGATACAATTCATTTCTATCACACAGTATGAAAGTACATGTTGTAGGGAGAATTTCGAACATGTACTTTCATACTGTGCTGGAAAATTGGTTCTGAATGCTAAGAAAATCAGATGCTTTCCAGAGGTAGCTCCTAGATCTGACACATCGGTAGCATTCAAACTAGTATCTTCGTACAAGTACTTGCACAACTGTATAGATAATAGCCTCTGTTTTAACATGCATTTTGAGCATTAAGTGAAAATGTTACATTAGGATGGATTTTTAATGCTGACATAGGGCTTCTTTACATTAGCAATGAGAAAAACACTGGAACATACATGCAACACTCACACTGGGGGGCATAATTTATATGCATGTTGCTGTGTCTATTCACTGTGCAGTACACATCACCGTGTACTATGGATTCTTGGGTTGTATTCAGCCTAGGAGCTGGGTATGTTCATCTAAATAGCGGCTATACAGGGTACATAACATTTGTTCTGAAACTAATAGGTAGACCTTCTCCTGTGTTGAGCCCTAAACCTGTAAAAACCTTCAGAACTCACTATAACTTTGATTTAATCTCTCAAAAGATATGTCATTTTAAAATTGATTATGTTCTAGCTATCTTTGGTCCCTTGGTTGTTTGAATATACTTTACTTTTGCCCTGCATCATTTGTTATCATGATTGATTTTATCTATTTGCAAGTTTTTAATGGTGTGCCTTCTTGGTCCAGTATTTAAAAAAAGAGGGACTCTTGGGATACTAATGGATTAAAAAGAAATCGAGGATGTCTGTTTTTAATTATTCCAGGAAATGAAATGGCTTATATATCACTGGACAACAAAAATTGAACAGAAGATACATAGAACACTTCTTCTAACCCTACAGCACCATCAGTTATGATCATATCATTGGGTGGATGAGTGCTACACTGAGGTCAGTCTGGAAAATCACCATTAAAGTGCATGAGTCCAGCCCTCGGGTCGCCTGTCGAGTTCCTTCAACTGTAATGCCCTCTATTCATTAGCAAACTTCTGAGAAAGGTCAAAATCACAGCAGCTCCTTCACAAAATTCAATTCTGCTTGTGTCACTCACTTCAAAGTATGTTTTCCTGACTTTTAGTCACTCAAAATTAACCTCATTTAACACAAATCACCCCTTTTGCAAACCTGAATATACACTTTGGTTTTTCCCAGTGTACAAAAAAGCCTCAGTAAAATGTTGTGCTGTTAAAAGAGTACAACTGTAGGTCATTTCTAAACTTGTACTGCACCCAAGCGTGTCGAAACAATGACCCCTCTTTGTACTGCATGCCTGAAGCGGCTACAGAATGACGTTATTACGAACAAAAAAAGCCCTAATTTGATTTTCTGTTCATCGTTAGTAATTGCAGTCAGTCATTTGCGAATTAAGACAACGTTGTTTGGGATCATACAGACTTGAACTCCAAAAGATTATCCGTCTGCACATACAACAAATTCGAGAGAAGAACGGCTAAAACAAATATGTTAACTGAAGTTTCTTCTCTCTGGACAGATCAGTGAGATAACAGCTTCATCCCTTTCTGCTGAAGCACAACGTACTGCCAGCCATACATATGAAGTTTCTTCTTGTTTTTGTGCTGGATCACTTTAGGGCAGATACTAACTCTTGGGTTGCGGTCACAAATTACTTAATCAGAGTCTCGAATCACTTAATTTCTGCTTGTAATTTTGTCGAAAATACAACAAAATGTGGTTTAACTGGCAGAATTCTGGAGTATACGTCGTGCATCCCTGAACAAAACAAGTAACTGAATCCAAACGCCACACGTTTAGCTTTACTTTGTCAAGAACAATGCCAGTGTTCCTTAGGGATGAAAATGCATCAACATCAATAATCTAAACCAGCAACATAGTTACAACAATTCAGATGTTCTTTAACCAGACAGGGATGACATAACAAGCATAATAAAGATGAGTTCTCATGATGTATTCCTGTATGCTGGTCATGCCCGTCATAAGTGAACAGCACAAGTGACCAAAAAAATGTGGCCTACACAGATTTGTCACACATAAAAGAAAATTAACAAGATATCAGTTTGTGTGCCTCCCCAGCGTGCGTCATCGACAACGCTATAAAAACGGCCTGACTCCGCCACTGACGACTGCTGTTAAAAAGGCCAGTTTGTCAATAATGAATTCATTTATGTATTTTTGTGCTGCATTAACATTAGCACTCAGGGTCAAGTTATGGTGAGAACTTAAGTAACAGTTTAGTGTCGCTGCACCATTCAGTCAGCCGAATGTTAGCAACTAGCAGCCGAGAAACCTATAAAGCAGAATTACACTTTCTAACACTAATATGTTTACGTTTTTGTATTTTTTTTCCCCATCATTGCATGTATATTTGTCCCTTTAACACGTTTTAATTCAATTGTAACACATGTTTAAGCATGTTTTAGCAATATGTGTCAGGTTTAGCTTGCTAGCGACACAAGTGACACTGTTTAGTTACCTGTTAATGTGTCGTGAAATAATAATAAAAACTGTCAAATAATGGACAGTCTAATATAAATGAGTCCCAATCAGTTTTGTTTACACTTTGTACATTTGTATATACATTCTACATAATTCCATCTTAAATATTGTTTAGCATATGTTCATTTGAGTGCAAAAATCAGGAATTGGTGCACATCTGAGAGCATGATTTACTCGTTTGTGCGCACAAATGACTTTTTTCTCCTCAGACACATGTTAAGCTCTGTAGTATAGGTATTGTAGCCATTTGTCAAACTGTATAATAATTCTTGACTCGCCTCAACCCTATGTCACCTTCTTGTCTTTATTAGTACGCCATCAGAACATTATGTGCTGCAGTGCATACATTTCATAACTTACATCACACTGACACAGTGTTCAAAGGTGTTTGGTAATTTCCTATTTTTCTCATATGAACCATTGTAGGCGTCCTTCACTGTCAGCCAAAGTACATGCAAACCTCAGAAAACACTTCCTTCCTTAGTGTCCTGCACACCAACATCTGGAAAGTAGAACTAAAGTGCTTCTTAATGACCTGATCTCAATCAAAGAGCACAGAGCTTAGTGGACTATATTTTGGAATAGGACATTTTAATGGAAGAAAAACATGGATTTTTAAAGAAAGCATAAGGAAGGAGGATTCTTTAAAATAAGAGACTGACCTATGATAAAGATGTAAAAGGCTGCGATGATGTCGGCCTCTCTGGAGAGTCTCGAGGCGAAAGGGTCACCATGGAGGAGATAGTGGGGGACGTACGTGGAGTGAGGCCATGTCGCGTTCTCCATCACTGCCATCAGCGGGGAAAGCCCTGTGAAGTGGAGGAAAAGGCTGAAACAATGGAGCCGCTTCCTTTAATAGAAAACAGGTCACAAACACACAAAAAAGGTACTCGGTCAACAGGATGCACGAAAGCATGAATCCACCTGGACATGCGGTGTACGAAACGCAACCATGTGGAATAAATGTTACGGCTTTCAGTTCACAAATCTGCAAAGCAACGCAAGCCTGAAGTCACAAACAGGAACCCATGAACAGCCACATAAATCATATACGGTAAGTCGTTTAATTGCTTGATAGCAAGACTGGATGTGTATTGCATATATCTTTAATTCCGTTCATCCCATCGACTAGGCAGAATCAAATTGCAGATATCTTTAGTGATGTCAGAAGCTGCGACAAATGGACAGCAGAGGATTCACAGGCTGCTTACTCACCATATGATGGGACTGCAGCAGCAACCATTTATGACAAGATGTTTTCCTGCCATGTCAGAGCAGCTTGAGGCAAATGTTCTAGTAAATTTCGTACATGTCTGATTGATAAAGCTCTCATTCTCCACAAACTCCTTCTTGATGAGTTTTTTCTATTTCCCAGCATTTTATAGCGATCTCATCCACCACATCAACCATCATTCCTTCTGTTTGAATGCTTTGCTGGACTAATATCCAACGGGAAGCCTCGCAGCGTCGTGCACAACAATTCAAACTAGTCATAATGATGTTTGAGACACCGGGAACTACAATTTTGACTAATTCAATGATATCATCGATACCTGCTATCCAACGATGTCATCGAAAATGCCAACCAATCACAGTGTAATTATGACTGGTCAGACCACATGGGGCAAAATTCACTCCCCAGGTGGTTCAGTGAAGCTTTGGCCATCCACACGATTCACGAGTTATTTTTCCCGCTTTTTGTAGATACTAATGTCTGTTCATTTGAATGTGAAACTGCAGTAAAAACATGCCTAAATCCTCAATGAATACTCATGTTAAGTAGTCATAACCTCAACTGACACTAGTCAAAACAGTCTTGTGATTCATTGGTAATATAAAGAGCCACTTTAGCCAGCTTAGCCACTTCAAATATATGAAATATTCTAAAACATCTATATAGGGTTCTTGAACACCCAAATTACTGTGTTGTATGTATTTATATCATTGGTGTAATTGTCCAGGCAGGATGATTCTGATGTTAGATTTGATTACAGATCAAATCAGGTCAGGTTCAGCCCTCATATTTGTATATCTAGACAGAAGTGTTAAAAGAAAAAGAATGGCCCTTCACTAACATTTCACATTGTTATAGAATGTTATAATGTTGTACGTCATAAATGTGCATCCAATCTTAGAATCTTTTATCAGCTGTAAAAATGGTAAATGGTAAATGGACTGCACTTCTATAGCGCTTTTCTACCTCAGCAGCACTCAAAGCGCTTTTTTTTCTCATTCACACACATTCATACACCAATGGCGACAGAGCTGCCATGCAAGGCGCTAGCCTGCCATTGTGAGCAACTTTGGGTTCAGTATCTTGCCCAAGGACGCTTGGACGATGGAGGGGCGGGGGATCAAACCTTACGATCAGAGGACAACTGCTCTACCACCTGAGCCACAGCCGCCACTATAGCACTGCATCATGTAATAAAAGCAGATAGTGCAAGACAAATACGGTGGGGTAAAAGCTATATGTGTAATATTTTATGCTGAAAAGTCGTAGAACAGAAGCAGTAGAGGTTTGCTTTCCCCCAGTCAGAAAGCAACAACGTTTACAGTGTGATCTCTACATATACATATAACAACATATTGGACAATGAAATGCTGCTGAAATTGCTGGTGCAGCATACAAAACAGTGATAACAGCTTTAAGTATAAGGATCAGCTGGAAATGCAGTGGAGCTGTCGACAACAGCGTTACGACTGCACAACAATCACACGCATAGATTTAAACAAATCGTCTGATGATGTGGAATGTGTGTAGGTGGTCGTTAAGCCGTCAAGCTGAATGCCCAGAATAATTGGCAGCGCTAAAGCTTTCATCTTCTGCGAACCTATCCTTACAAATCTGCACAATACACACTTGGGTTGTCTCTTTTTATTCAAAATAATGTAACTAGCATTTAAGTGTGCAAGCTGCACTGAACTGATAATCGAGGCTACAAACCATGAGGGAAAAACGTGGGTGAAGGTAAGGTCTTTAAAAAATGCATTCACCTTATAGTAACGCTCTATCTTACTATACTAAACAGGGCAGTCCAAATGAGCTGATTAAAAGTGATTAAAGATACAGTATAGTTTATTGTGGCTGTATAATTAATTCAACTGAAATTCTGTCCTTGATGAATTTATTTGTTCTTGATTTTTTTTCAAAGCCAACACAGATGCTATGATATTAACTTATTTTGCTATTTAAAGAACATTTCCAACAAAACCAGTCCCATGTAAGAACTGCTCGATAGTATAACAGCGTGATAGATTTATGCACAAAATAAACTTGCTTAGCTGCTGCCATCTCTTTTCCAGGTAAATGAAGCACAAGACGTCAAAGAAAACATGATTCATCAAACCAGGACACCGTCTTTCTTTACTCCACAGTCCAGTTCTGACACTCAGGTGCTATTGTAGGCATTTTCATCAATGGACAGGGGTCAGGATGGGCACTCTGACTGGTCTGCAGCCTCATAGGAAGCACACTGTGTGTTCTGACACCTTTCTATCACAGCCGACATCAAAGTTTTTCAGCGATTTCTACCACAGCAGCTCGTCTGTGAACTTGGACCACTTGGGTCAGAATTAACTCCCTACAATATTCAATGAACCCTGGGCACCTATGGCGTTGTTGTTGGTGCACCAGGTACCCTTCCTTGGACTACTTCTAGTAACAATAGAGATCATCCGACCCAGTTCATCAAAATTTGGCCCTTGTCAAAGTCACTCAGATCCTTATGCTTTGCCCCTTATTCTGCTTTCATCACATCAACTGTAAGAACTGATTGCTCTTGCTGCTAATAAATTCCACCCTTCAACAGGTGCCATTATAATGAGTAATCAATCTTGTTCACTTGACCTGTCAGTGTTTTTAATGTTATTGTTACAGATGGTTGTATAAGGCTGATGGCTCATCAGTCCCCTATTTATAAGAGAGTTATCTTATTTTGACTGTTTTTGTTGCTTTTGGAGCTTTTAACATGAAAACTCCATACTGGGTATCACAGGAGTACAGTCGGCACAGTGTTCCCCAGCATTAACTACTTGGTATTGTCAGTTTGTGCAAGATTTTCATTTAATTCATCTACACAGCTGCAAACCATGATATATATCATCTAGGGACACTTTACACTTTCAGATCAAGGCCTGAAGTACGTAACACGTATAACTGAGTTGACCAAGATGATCATTTTTCATCTATCATATCTATCGTATGGTCTTGAATGGATTATTAGTGCATAATGAAGTGTCAATGTTGTAATTGAGGCAGTCTGATAAAGTCATTCACAAGACAGCATTAAAACTAGCAACGTGAATTGTGCATGTGGAGATCACTGGACAGAACATTCTCACATGCTGGAAGAAACTCCCAGTCACATAAGATAAAAAAGAAATAATTATCATGCCGCATTGGTGCATGTAATTACAGTATAATTAATGTATGGTGAATGTCAGACTGATTAAAGGCAATGGTTGGAAAAGGTCATTGATTTTTAAAAAAGACATCATCAATTATTGGTCTGAAGCAATAGGCAATTTACAGTCTTTGGTGCGAAAGTTGCACGAATCGCACATTCTTCCGCCACCTTAACCTACAACCTCATCCTTTGTTTCCAACTCACTCCGCAAAGGTCACAGTTCCTCCTCTGCCGGCACGAGGCTGCATCAGCAACATTCTTACTGATAGCCAGGTGTGCAAGATCTGACAGATTACACTGAGTGAAGCGTGAGTTCCTGAAATGAGCAATTCCAGGCAGCACGGCATTAAAAAAAAATAATATCACATCTCAAATCTAATTCTAGTTGCACTTTAATTCAAAATATGGTCTAAAAAGCCAACTCTGTAAGTTTGGTTCCTTTCCTAAGAAATCCCCCACAACTGCACAACTGGCATCCATGGCAACAGTCAATCCCGTGACATCAATGAAACGTGCTATTTTTGTAAACATACCAGAGTTGGCCAGTCAGGTTACTGAGGAGAGGAAGCTGCTCCCATATCTGAACTAAACAGGTGACCACGTCCTTGTTAGAACTATCGTTTTTCCATCACAACTAATATATGCACCCACAAGAAAACAATACTCTCCATGCGACAAGAAAAACACTGCTTAATGTGGCTGGAATCCATATTTTCCTGACATGCCAATTTGTATCGAGAAGGCGTGCATTAAAGCAATAAACCTGAAGAGAATAATCACCTTCCGTGCAGCGCTGCATGATGTTTCTCAGATGGTGAACACAGCAGAGCAATTAGCAGCTAAAGATCGCCATATTCAGCTCACTAATTGGTGGCCAACAGATACAGTGCCACAAGGTGAGCTGATATTGGACTTAAATCTGTCAGATGGGAGGAAACCTTACACCAAACGAATGCCAATGTTTCCTTGTATTTGCTGGACTGTGAAGTGATTCAGTGTTGTACCAGTGTTGCGTGTCCTACATTGCTCCCAAGTGGCCACGAAATCAATTATTTCAGACTAAAACATACAACCTACAGCCTCATATCCCAAGAGTAAGTACAGACAAGCATGGAGGTGTGTGCTGAATGCTGGGATTGCAAAATGAAAAACTGTACAATTAGTGTACCCCACCACCAGGCCGACCTGTAGCAATACGTGGCTCTTTTGATGTTTAAATGTTCCACACCAGCTAGTTGCTAAATTGATCCATAGAGGTGAGGGGTTTGTACCTCTAAGCAACCTTTCACATGTTACATCACTGTTGACATAAAAATATTGATTGGGGCAGCTTCAGCAGCAGCATCAGTGATCATGTCTTATTCCTATCCTCACGAACAATGATGAAGGGAGCTGAACTC